ACCCGCAGCAGCCCGGCCAGAAGGGGGTGACTGCAGACGCGCCTGTGCTGTGCCAGCTGGGCCGGGGCGCGGGTCTGGGACCGGCGGCGATGACTGGACGCCCACGCGGGGTCTCCAGCCTGGTGTTCCACGGGGGGGAGCTGGGGGACCGCCCCGCGCCCACACCCGCCATCTCCCTGGTGGCAAACACGGCGTCGCCGTCTGGCCAGCAGCTGAGCGTGTCGTGTTCTGTGGGCCTCGCCTCACTGACCAGCCCTTACAGGAAGGGAGAACGCCCCCAGACGTCCCCAGCAAGGTCGTGCGGGACAGGCCGCCTGGGCTCGGCCCGCGTGGTGTCCCCTCCGCAGACACTGGGCCACGGGCGGGTTTGCAGGGGGCCCTCCCGCCACCATTTCGTCCATCGTTCCACCGGCAACGTGGCGCCACATGAGGGGAAGGAAGCCCGCGTGAGACTAGACCGGGAGCACCGTGTGTGGCGGGCTTCACGCCCCTCACGTATGTGCCACGCCCGGGGACACTGGCGGTGCCGCCAACCCAGGCCGCCGGCTCCGGGAAGCCAGGGGGTGCCAGCTGCCTTGTTTGCGTCTGTGCCCGGACTTGTCACTCAGCATCGTCCAGCTGAGTTCGTTGCAGGCTGGTCCGAGTAACGGGAACGTTTCTCGCCAGTTTCTGGTGAGACGTTGATTCTGGAAACACTCGGCTTCTTTGACGATGTCCATATGGGGTCCCTGCCGCTTCCCGCATTTCCGGTCATCCTGGAAATGGCTGGAGACCGATGGCGAACACACGGGCGGCCCCACCGTGCTCGGCACATGGGACGGTGACACTGTGCCGGCAGCAGGGCGCTTTCGCCTTTGCCCTGCGTGCGGCCTGGCCCTGCACCCTCGGCTCGGGGTCCGATTCGGAATCCCCTAGCCGGGGACACTTTCCACGTGGTGACACAGGCGTGCTGAGGGAAAGGGGACAGGAAATGACGCCGGGCCTGTGCCATCCGTCCACAGCTTGAGCTGGGAGGTGACGGGTTCCGGAAGCACAGAGGAAGTGCTCTGTCACCGTGCATCCCGATAGCCCGAGTAGGACATCACCAGCCATGTGCTGTGCTGCGTCTCGGGGCCCTGGCTGGGTACCCGGGGCCGTGGGAGCTGCGCCTGTGCTCCGGGGCAGGGGGGCGGCCCGTCCCCTCCTCCGGAGACGGCACCGAGGAGAAGTCATCCACACGCGGGAGCAGGGGCCCAGGCCACACGTTGGCGGGGGAGGTAGAGGCCCTGGGTTCAGACGCATCCCCTCAGCCCCCAGGGTCCTCACTCCGAAGGTGCCCGAGGGTGTCTTCACACCCCCTGAGGGCCGCGGGGAGGCGACCGCGTGCAGCCGTCACCCGATACTGTCAGCACTTACTGGCTGTTAATTGGCAGCAGATGATGAGTGACCTTCTCTGGGTCCCTGGGGATGCCGGGCCCGTCTGGGTTTTAGTCTCGTATGAGCAATGAGAAGCTCGCGTGTGACCTGCCACCCCAGGATGAGCTAGAATCTGCTAAAAGTGGCCTTGCCGTCAAGCGCGAGCCCTCAGCATTGGAGACGCGAGTCCGATTTCAGCGCCTTCATCGTCCCCGCGGAATCCCGCCGAGTCTCCCTACCTTTTCCTGTTTCGTTCTCGGTTTTTCCCCTGCCCTGTGTAACTGCGTAATTACAATTAGTGCAAAGTAGGAAAAACCCGAATATCAGGAGAGGATCAGTTGGGATTCTCTAAATACTCGGACTGTCACCAGTTTCTTTTATTTTCTTTACGTTTGCTCATGACTTTAAGTACATTTTTTTTTTAATTTTAAAAACATGAGAAATCAAATAAAAGACAGAAATAGCACGTGACCCTTTTATTCTCAGACACGATCAGACCGAGATCCATACCGATCGACACTAATTTCTGTGCGTAAATCCGCACATCTGTGCGCTGTGAGTTTTGCTACGAAATGGGACCACACGCACACTTTCCGACTACATTTATTTTAAGCAATTACACAAGATTTTGCATTTAATTTATTGCAACTACCACATGTGATCGGAAATTTTGATCTAAATTTGGACTGTTAAAAATACAAAAAAGAAATAATATCTTAAAACTATCAAGAAATGGTAAAACCAAAAATATTTCTTAAGAATCCAGAAAAAAAAAATCACAAACGATTACATCATGCCCTCATGATTCTCCAAAGTGGCCGTTACACAGAAACTCAGCAATTAGGAAATACCCATTTTTGACCAAATTATCCTTTTTAACCAAATTGCCATGATAGCTCCAGCAGACTGCCTTACATCCCAAGCATCGTTTGCCAGGTGACCTGGAAACAGTCAGCACCGTCTGATACCGATGGCGTCAGCCCCCGACTGTCCCTGAGCGCTGAGCGAGGCGCTGTGTGGCGTCCTCCTCACTCTGTACGCTCGACTGACGGTCCGTTGCTGCGTGTTAATGTTGACCAATTACGTTCTGTTCCGTTGAAAATAATCAGGAGCGGTTTGTTATGTTCTTGCCCTTCAGATACTTTACATAGTGATGTCCCCACCATACTTAGAATGCGCTCGCCTACCAGGTGTCAGTCACGAAGTTTGTCTTCTTTTCACGGTATTGCAAGGTTTTCTTTTTCTTCCTGACACTTAAGATGGCACTTTTCCTTACTGTAACTTGCCTTTAATCTATAGCTATCTCCTGTTACCAGGGAGAGTGATGTCGGCAGTAAAAGAAACCAAGATAAAACTGGCAATTGTCACCTAGCCAGACTGGCTGAGAATGGATTAGAAGCATCACTAATATTCTTTAAATTCGCACCAATGGCCCCAAAGTCTACTTTTTCAGTAAAGTAGTCATTTCTGGCAAAGTCAAGTCAAGAGTGGCTGCAATTACCCCAATGCTTGAATCATTCAAACCTACAATTGAAACAAGCAGTCCATGTATCTACTATTTATTTGATATTTTTGCAACGTACTTAGTACATCTGTGTTTCAACGTTTCATGTGATTCTGTTTGCTTTAATTCAGCAAGAGAATCGGGTTCGAAAATAGTGGTCTTGCTCTTAGCATTATTTTAGATACTGAGCGTAGACAGAAATCAACAATCAGTCCAGACATTTGGGGTGAAAAGTGCTACCCCATGTCTGTCGATTCATTCGAAAGCTATTTGTTGATGGCTCCCTGGTCCCGGCACTGGCAAACGGCAGTAAATGAAGCTGACCAAGGTCCTCCTCCCTCAGAGCTTACCTTTCAGTGTGGAGGCGAGAAATCGGGTAAATCAGAACAAACAATTCGCAGCATGGTGTGTGGTGCGTGGGAAGCACGTCGGGGAGAGGGGGAGGGAGAGCCGAGATTTTACACGAGAGGTGGTGTCTCCACGGGCAACATTCCAGTGGAGACTTGAGGGGTGCAGAAAGGAGCCAAGTGGATGCTGGGTGGGGAGTGGCCTGCTGAGGGGACAGCGGGGCCCCGAGTGGCAGCTGGGGGAGCAAGCAGGTGGGCGGGGCCCAGGAAGAGCCTTGACTTTGGGGAGGAGACTGCTGTGAGCCAGAGGTCATCGCGGCTTAGGCAGGAGAGAAGGGTCCTGACTCACCTCATATTCCCCGGGGCCCGTGGGTGCTGAGCTGGCGGATGCAGATGCGGGGGCTGGAGCAAGGGCGGTGGCAAGGGGTGCGAGAGGCCGCGGCGTGGGCCCGTGGGCCGGTGTGGCAGGGAGCGGCAGGACACGCTTGGACTCTGGCGAGGTTCCAAAGGGCAGACGAGACTGGGGCGTGGAGCGGGAGGAGCGTTGGTGACACCAGTCTGTGGCCTGTGGCAGCTCAGAATGCAGTTCCAGACACGGGAAATGGGAGACAGCGGGTGGGGACGTGGGCCTGAGGGCCAGGAAGGCAGGCAGTCAGCCCTGGTTCTCGAGTCGCCCGCTGTCTACCCCCGTGGAGGTCCTGTGGCCTGGAGACCGAGGAGAGACACATTCGAGCCACCACGAAATGGGCATCATGTAGAACCGAAGCCCGGTGCCCGTGGGTGGGTGCGGGGGAGCCCTGAGGTGAGGGTGGGGTGGGGGGAGGGATGTGTGTGGCAGCGGTTTTCGGTGGGTGGGGAGGAGGGAGCTGGAGTGTGGGAGGCCATCCTAGAGCCCTAGAGCCAATGAGAGGGGGGAGGCTGCTGACAAGTGCGGTGGGGGCGAGGGGAGCTGGGGAGGGACCCCTGGGGACCCTGGGGCGGGCGGCAGTCTCGTGGAGCGGAGGGTGAGATGGTGGTGGCAGCTCCGAGCCCCCATCCCCACCAGGCGCCCGGCGGTGAGGCCGCAGGACGAAGCGTGGACGGCTTCTCCCCGGCTCTTCCTTTTCCTGAGCGTTTGGGAAATTTTATTTTGAGCAAAACCTGTTTATTTCTCATGATTTAAATATTAAACTAAAGGTTTCAAAGAACGGGTATGGGCGCATGGCCTGGGCCCTCGCTCGCAACCCCGGTGGCTGAGTCCGCTGCCCCGGGAGAGGCTGGGACGCAGGAGGACAGGTCCACACCTGAGCGGACACGCCTGTGGCACTCGGTAAAATGGGCCGTCCCTCTAGAGCGGGGCCAGAGCATTTGTCTCGTTTGGCAATGCGCACGTCCCGTCGTGCCTTTGTGACCTGTGCGTTCCCTCCATGTGTGCCTCTGCCCGGGCGAGCGAGTGTGCCAGCTGTCAGCCCCTCCCAGAAAAGCTGCCTCGAACTTTCGCTGCGTGCAGAGCGTTCACGTTTTAATGCCACCTTTTGTCTCGTTTGTCTCCCCGCCAGCCCCCAAAGGCAACGCTGAGAGAGCTCCCAGCAGACAGGTGAGTGTGTCTGCGTTTCAGCCTTAGTCCTGGGCCAGTTTAGTTCCAGGCAGTAGAAACTCAGGGTTCTGTAGATTTGGAAAGTAAAGTACCTGCCGAGACAAAAGCAAGAACGAAACAGTCCAGGAGCGGCCGGCGCCCCGTCCTCGCCCTGCGAATGCGCCCGGCGGCCACCAAGAGGCCACCAAGCGTCAGCGCGCTAAACCGTCCATTTAAAGCCTTCGCCTTGTTTTTTTTTTTTTTACTTTTTGAAATTCCAATTATTTTATTATTTTTAGGAAAAGTCCGTGCTCTCTTGTTTTGTGGAGATAAACAGTCATCCTTGAACGTTCTCCCGAGGTTTGTCATGCGCTTCTCACGTTTTTGAGAGGGTCACAGGGACAGGCGACCCTCTCCCTCCTCCGGGCATACGGGTGAACGTCCCATTTCTATCCCGGGACCTCGATGAGACACGCGTTCGGCCCGACAGGCTTTCAGTTTGCTGCCGGTGAGCTTGACACGCGCCCTGCGCTGAGCCTGACCCCCGCCCAGCGAGAGGCGAGGTGGCTGTCCCGCCGGCACCCCACAGGCCGCCGCCGGGGTGCAGGCCGGCTTCGGAAGGAGCTGCTGTTTGATGTCCAGCCGTCCTGCGGTGGCCCGCACTGGCCGTGGCGTGAGGTGGACACCGCCAGCGCAGATGCGTGGGGCCTCCGCTTTGTCCAGCCAGTGTTCCTGGTTCAGCGTCGCAAACCCCACTGCCAGTCGCTCACACGCGAGAGGCGCCGGCCGGAACGCGACGAG